AACAAATAGGCTTTAACAAGGCTTTAATAAGCTAAACAATAGAGGTACATGAGAAAACGTGTTCATAACGAATGAAAATAAATAAATAATTAAAAAGTGTCCATGCCAGTCTCAAACCCTGGTCTCCCACTCTCTGGTACAACACTCTACCCATTGCCCTATTGGAGGCTTGTTGTAAAATGAGCTGCGCATTACACAACAACACGYTGARGGCTTTTTATACTGAGGAGGTGGAGCTTCATCCGGGGATTGCTAGGTAAGGGGCTGAACGCAGGTTCCGGTGGGTTGTCGTACAGCTTGTGACATCACAAAATGATGGAAGTATAAAACTTGCCGTTAATACACATTAAAAACATGTTTACTTACAGTAAATATGTCCCTGGGTGCATTTTTTGGACCTAGGACTGTTTTTTTAAGAAGTACATACCCAAAGTTGAGTAAAAAACACTTTAAAAAGTGAATTTTGCATAATAGGTCCCCTTTAACATTATGAGTAAAACCCATCAGTTCAGTGGGAAGTTTATTTCATTCTGTGATGCCTTTAAATGAAAAGGCTGTCTGTGCAGATGCTGAGCTCTCTGGGTTTTTTTACAATCCTTCCTGTTCACTGATCTCGTGTTCTTCGTGGACACAGTTGTTACAGCTCAGCTTATAGTTTTTGTTTTTCTTACAGTTTTGGCGACAGGTGTACCTGCTGACCGTGCTGTCCCTGATCCTGGCCGTGTTCAGCGCTCAGGTCCACCCTCATTACCTCAGCAACGACTGGAAAGTGATCAGAATGGCAATTTTCTTCTGTGTGTCGGGGATTAGCGTGATTCCTGCGTGCCACTGGGTCTGGCTGAGTGAAGGATTCACATCTGAAGTCGTGCAGGTGAGGACAGACAGACTTCTGGTTTWAAAAAAAAAAGTGAAAATTGTGGATTCAGACCTGAATCCTTGTTTTTTTTTTTCATGCTGTAGCTGTTCCTCCCTCGTGTGGTAGTGATGTACTTGATAGCTGGATTTGCTTTCCTGTTCTACGTCACCAAAATCCCTGAACGATATTTCCCCGGTGAGCTTTGCTGTGTTTTCTGTGTGCATGACCAAAGTGGGACGCTTTAGTGCAAAACAAAAATCAAACTGAGAATCACATGTTTTATATTGTATCAGTAACTTAAATAAAGTTTTATGAACARGAAATCTTAAATCTTCTGTCTTTGTTTTTATCACCCTGATTAAATCTTTGTATAGATGTAATACAATAAATGCCACTAGAGGGCGATATATCATATACAGTAGTGTAGCAACATTAAAGTATTGGAACAAGTGCTTCGCTCATTATATTTGAACAAATTTATTATAATAAATAATTGTTTTAAATCTGCTCTGTTTCATCTATAAGTTTTATATTTTATTCCTGCTTTTAGACCTGTAATAATAACAGTCATGTTTAAAATAAATTGAGATATTTCCCACTGTATTTTCCCCTCCAGGCCAGGTGAACTACATCGGTGCCAGCCACCAGCTGTGGCACCTGCTGGTGGTTCTGATGTTTTACTGGTGGCATCAGACCGCTGTGCTCATCATGCACTTCAGACACAGCCAGCCGTGTTRCAGTGGGACCAGCAACTAAGTGAACTTCACAATAAGAGCATCACCTTCATTATAACAAACCTCAGCTGCTGCCTTTATCAACCTACCTGTGAGTACACGGTGCCAAACTGGCAGAGGGACGGTGATCAGGAAGGAAAACACTTTAGATCAATGCATGAAAAAGTGTTTGTTGTTTTTGTATGAACAAACTGGGTTTTGGGGCTTTTAGGTGACAGATTTCATCTCATGGTTGGTTACAGTTGGGTTTTTTGTTTTTTTTAAAGAAGTGTTAGAAAATCAAAGGATTGTTAAGAATCAAAATGATAATTTTTTGTTTACACTTTAGTTTGTACAGTAATAAATAAAATGTTATGGTTTACGCTGGGAACAAATTAGAACAGGACAGTTTATGAAACTCGCGAACAAAACTTTTTATATTGCTCAATGATGGTGTTTACATTAAGAGCAATATTTCAACTGTAAAAGCTTTTTAAAACAAGACCTGAATCATTTTATTCTTTTTAAATGAGCTGCATGTTTGACAGTCTGATCGTATTGTCTTATTACAGACAACAGTTTGATTATTGACTGTGGAAATAGTTTTTGTTTTTTTAAAAACAAAGTAGCAATGATGGCATTAACTTAAAAAAATACTGTAAAACTTAACCACATTATAAATACTAATAATTAAAGTCATTAAAAGTCAATCAGTCACTGAGCAGAACAATCCTCCTTTTTACACTAATACAGTAATATTTATTATTGTCTGAACTTGTTTCTGCTCAGATTAGTGCTCATTTAAATCCACTTGGTTGCCTGTCTGCCTGTTTTTGACTTTTTTGTATTTTGCATTTTTCCACATCGCAGCTTTATTTGAGAAAGACCARGCAGTCACGCTAAAACAATCACTTAAATACAAACCTTTGTGGACAGGAGACAAATTGATCTCCAACAAAGTTAAAAGCAACTTTACTGAACGTGTGCACCTTAGTTTTTCCATCTGTTTGTGGAAAAAAAAAGCACTTCTGAGAATCAAGATGAGTTAATCTGCCTTTTTTTTCTTCTTCATTGAATGTCAAATGCTTTTTTAGGTAAACACAGAGTTTAGCTGCCTGGCCCGGTCCTGTTGTAAACTATTACTTTTAACATTTAACAGGCGGAACATTATGAACAGGATTGTGACTGATTTTAGTTTGAAGATTTGTCATTGATTTAAAGAAAAAGTGAAAGCTGTATAAGTTGCGATGCCTTTTCATGCCCAAATTGGGATAAGTGGCTTTAGTAAATCCTWGAGTAGACCATTTCCTAGTTAAAAAATATAAAAAATGTGCATGTGTGAAGCAGGCCAAACTCACGTTTCTGGGAAAACGTTGAGGTTTTTATGGAAGCATCATCATAATTGAAGAAATTTAACTGGTAAATTTACGCTGACCCAATGTTTTCGCTCTAATCAGATTCCTGTTAAAACTTTCTGTTAGGATCATGGATGCAGGGTTTCCCCCCAYAAAAGAGGCWAAGCCCGGGGGTAGGTGGCGCCAGMCTTACTGCTCAGCCCGCCTGCCAGCGATTCATTAAAAAAATGATTAAAGTTTACAGGAAAGTTGAAATGTGACTATTTATTATGTGATTTTGCACAAATATTTGCACCACTACAGTCTTACAAAAAAGGCACACTTTTGAAACTGTTTACTAAAATTACAATCAAGCATTGTTTGCACTTAAGTTGAAGCCTGCTTTAAAAGCCATACTTATAAACAAATTAAATTAACACAAATTATTAAGTGTAAACAAAGCACCAACCCACGTCTCACATCAGAGCCACTTAACAAAACTCAAAACACCAGTATTTTCTCCTTTTAACCACTAGATGTCGCCATTGTGCGCAGTTGGATTTTACCAGGAATCCTCCAAAAACCTTCATAATCACCGTCACCGTGTATAAAAATGACGTAATTTAAAACAATCAAGCAGCGCTTAGCCTGGCAGCGGGGGCAGCAAAGCATGCCGGGCTGCCAGGCCTATAATACACTGGGGGAAACACTGGGATTTTTCCAAATATCTAAGCTATAAATCTGCTTTTCGAGCTGGTTGAATTTGCACAATTTCAATGTCATTTTTTATACTAACCTCAGCATTTTATCAGTTGACCTGTGATTCAGACGAATTGGGTCTTCTAGTACTCATAACAAAGAAATTATCTTTTTTTTTTCACTTGACTCAAACTAAACTAACTTGTAATTTGATCAGTCAGCTTGAAATTCCAAACAGGTCGTGTCAGCAGCTAAGTTCTGTTTTTCCTGCCAGTATTGAAACTAAAACTAAAGCTTTAACTTTTCTTTTATGCAGATTTATGTCCATGTTAGTAAATTCAACCATAAAAACAAAAAATCTACTGTTGTGAACTCTTTGATACGGCTGCCTGTTAGAAACCTGGAGCTTCTACTGAACTTGGGTTAAGTTAGGCCAGTGGAAAATGTATCAGCTGCACAATTTATTTTCCATCTTTCATGTGAAACAAGCAGATTTGTTGTTTGGTATTATATTTCTTCACTTGTACTGTTTCTATCATGTTTGATTTATTTATTTTTTTACTTTATATCTTGGAGTTTGCACACATCAAAACAAGAATTGATCAAACTGTCGGACTAAAAGGCCAGTTTCTTATTTCTTTATTTATTTTATTTTTATAATCGAGTATAAAAGCACTTCTTATGAATTGTTTTCTTTTAAAACCTTTTGTGTGTTTGTGTGTTTTTTGAATCTCATCTGTACGATAATGAGCCAGCACTGACTACTGAGATGTATATTTATTCCAGTGCCTATGTAAAAATATATTTTGAATGAATTAAAAATGCTGGAAAACAAGATTGTTTCATAATTTAAAAACAGAAAAATTAAAACTAATAATAGAAAAAAAATTCAGAGGTTTTTGAGTTAGAATTCAGATACAAATAAAATCCAACATCTTTGAGCTGATATGAAGAAGAAAATGTCCAAAACTTTCATTAAATAAGCTTAACTGTTTTATTTTCAGAGCAATATTTGCATTGGGTTTAGCTGCTGTTTACATTGTAAACAAAAGAGGGCAGCATTGAAACAAAAGTGAGTTCAAGGTAGTAATTTTAAGTGTGTGTGTGTGTGTGTGTGTGTGTGTGTGTGTGTGTGTGTGTGTGTGTG